CTTTTGCTACCAAAGATACCAGTTGTATCCTTTTGCTTGTGTTTGCGTGACAAGATATCCCGACATGGAGCCACCGAGAGAGAGAGGAGGGTCTCTTGGGAAGATTTCTGCTGACTGCCACTGTTTCAGTAGAAACACAATTATTTCATAAGGCCGGCTAACGGTGTTGGAAATAGCTGAGTGCCAAGCTGGAGCGACGGGGACCACATCCCATTTGATACTAATTGGTTTGATGATGATAATTGTTGCATTGCAGACGGTGTGACTATCTCCTAATTTAATATAATCAATAAGGTAACAACAGCTCAATGCAAATGAGATGTGGGGAACCGTGGGGCCATTTGTAAGTCGTGTTCTTAATGCATTTTCCTAATTAGCTGTAGCAGGGCTCCCCTACCCCAGAGTGCGGGAGAAATGATCGTTGCGATGCCATACTTCCTCCCGACCTTCACTTTCAGAGAGGCTCAGGACGGGCTTATCTTGGGGCTCCTGGGAGCTGCAGACACTTCCTTGGGATCCACTGACATGGAGGCAGTGGGGTTGGGGGGGGGAGGTTGGCGCTGACAGTTCAACAGGCACCTGCCCTTGTTTGTGACACCCCCAGCGGGAACCTGTGCAGTTTCCCTGCCTCTTCTGTCTGATGGGCAGGTGCTCCAGGGCAGGGACCCGCCTTCCCCCGTCAGACTGTCACTGCGTCATTCAGGGACCTGGGTCTCTCTCCCTGAGCCAAGGCTCCCAGGGCTGCTGCTGGCCTGGTGTTTTGCCCATTAGACCGGGGCCCTGCCAAGGTACGGGCGGGGCTCTCTTCCTCCGAGTGAGCGTCCCCCTCCAGAGCAGAGCTCTGATTCAGCTCTCAGCCTCGTGCTTGCTCAGGCTTCTTGCTCAGACCCTGGGTGTGTGTGCACATGTGTGTGCGTGTGTGTGCCATGGGCAGTGAGGCAGGAATGCAGCATGTCAGCAGGGCAGGGCTTACTGCAGGGCTTTGGAAGAGACTCTGGATCCATGCTGCCTGGCTTCGGTTCTCTCCGTTCTCCCCCCCACTACCTTCTAGCTGTGCGACCTTGGACAAGTTACTTGACCTCTGTGCCTCAGCTTCTTCATTCTATAAATGGACAAAATAATAGTCCCTACCCAGAAGTCTCTTGTGAGATTTATTTATTTTTTTAAATAAAGATTTTATTTATTCGTTTGAGAGAGAGAGAGAGCATGAGCAGGGGGAGGGGCTGAGGGAGCGGGACAAGCAGACTCTCCGCTGAGCCCAACACGGGGCTCCATCCCAGGACCCTGAGATCAAGACCTGAGCGGAAGTCAGACGCTTACAACTGAGCCACCCGGGCACCCCCTCTTGTGAGACTTAAATGGCATAATATCTTTACTCATTTTAGTATTTATTAGAAGAAAATTAGTTTCTCAGTCTCATTAGCTATGTTCAAGTGTTCACTAGCCACATGCAGCTAGTGGCTGGAGTAGTGGACAGAGCAGATGTCCTGTGTCATTTCTGTACCCTTTCCAAAGGAACATTACACAACCTCAGAGCCCCTTGGAAATGTAATATTTGAGATTTCCATCATCATGAGAAGCTCTGTTGGCTAGTGCCGCTGCAGACCCTTGACCCAATGAGCCGAGCAGCTCCCGGGAGTTCGCACGTCCCTGGATCTCGGTGTGGGCACCCCTGGGTGTTCTTCCAGCTCTAACTCAGTGCACTGTGCTCACGTCTCCTGCTGGCCAAAAGAATCCAGCTCCGTGCCACCTCTTGTCACGGCCCCTACACCTGATACCTGGGCCCGGGAGTCCCAGGGGTGGTTGTACCAGATGGCCTGGGAGTTATGTGTGTGTGTACATGCGTGCACACTCGGGGCTCATGTGCTGTGATCATCATTTTGGAGGCTTCCTTGGGGAAGTAACAAATGGCATCCCCACCCAGGAGTCTTCCAGTGGAGGCCCCCTCATAAATCAGTGTGAAAGGCTCCCAGTCCCTGCTGAGTGGTCCTGCGGTCCCACAACTAAGGGACCCAAGGGCTGTGGGGCTGCCATGGCCTCACCTCCCACCATCCCTGCCCCGGCTCTCTGGACCTCGTGGGCCCCGTGCAGCAGCCCTGGGCCCCAGTCCAGGCTCGAATAACCAGTGGTCTGATCTGAAAGGAATAACCTATTCTCTTTAGGCCTTGATTTTCACATCGGTAAAGTTGGGGGAAGAAAAGGAACATTACACAACCTCAGAGCCCCTTAGAAATGTAAGATTTGAGATTTCCAATCAATTCAACCTTCCAGCCCAGAGGACAAATCATAGGACTGTGGGTCCAGGGCAGTTGGGACACTGGAATCACCTTGTTACACATTCAGATTTCTGGGCCCCTTCTAGATCTGCTGCTCCTGGTCTCTGCAGATGATGACGGTGCATTTTCTTTGCAATCCCCCAGTAATTCCTGTGCACCATAATGTTTGAGAACTTTTGGCCTGAGGGCACATTCTGTATCTCCAGTGCCCCTGCTTGGGAAGAGGAAGTGGCTGGGGTCCTGGGTAGAGGGGAGGGGGGTTGAGTGAAGAGGCAGGGTCTTCCAGGGGGTCCTAGTCCAAAGCCAAGTTCCAGACAGTTTGGCAAACTGGGAGTGAGCCCTGGCTCGGAACAGAAACTCAGACCAGAGATCTGATCTGAGGAGCAGGTGACATGAGAGGCCTTCCTTTGAGATGGGGTTGCTTCTCTGGGTTTCTGGAAACAAGATCTAGTCCTGTTGGAAGGGGTGGTGGTAACTAGGCAAGAGGGATGTAGTTGACAGTGGTGGTGAAAATGCACAGACTTTGGGGGAGCCTGGGGGGCTCAGTCATTGAGCGTCTGCCTTCGGCTCAGGTCATGAACCCAGGGTCCTGGGATCGAGCCCCACATCGGGCTCCCTGCTCAGCGGAGAGTCTGCTTCTCCCTCCACCTCTCCCCCTGCTTGTGTTCCCTCTTCCTCTCTCTCTCAAATAAATAAATAAATAAATAAATAAATAAATAAATAAATAAAATCTTTATTTTTATTTATTTATTTTTAAAGATTTTATTTATTTATTTGAGAAAGAGAATGAGAGAGAGAGCATGAGAGGGGGGAGGGGCAGAGGGAGAAGCAGACCCCCCGCCGAGCAGGGAGCCCGATGCGGGACTCGATCCCGGGACTCCAGGATCATGACCCGAGCCGAAGGCAGTCGCTTAACCGACTGAGCCACCCAGGCGCCCCTAAATAAAATCTTTAAAATGAACAAGCTTCGGAGCCACACAAAACTGGGTTTAAATACTTGGCAGCCCCTGAGCCACATGACCTTGGGCGGTGAGTTTAAGCTCGTCTGTAGAATGGCAACAGTACTGTCTGCCTCACAGGATTAATTACGACAGGATGTGTGAAAGCTCCTGATAGATGGAAATACATGCTTTCCTTTACCAACTAGCTTCCAGAATCCTCCTTGACCAGGCTCAGAGTAATGTGGAGCCCCAGATAGGATTCGGACAGTAACAGTAACTGCCCCTTGAGCCACGTTCTGTAGTTTACCCCACTTTCATGCCCATGATCTCATGATGGCCTTGTGGCACCCTGATAGGAACACTGCGGCGTGAAGAAATTCGGCAACTTGCTCAAGGTCATGCACTGGGACTTGGAAAGGGGAGGGGTATGCATCTGTCCTAACTGTGACCCACGGTGCTGCCGTTGGCCACCTGCGAGCTGCTGGTGACAGAGCTTTTCTGAACTCCCTAAAGACGGTGCATTTGTGGGGCAGAGTGCGGTGGGGTGGGCTGGAGCCGCAGGAGACTGCCGGGGAATGTGCACTTGGGCTGGGCTCCTGCTCAGCGGGCTGATGTCTGGGAATAGGTTTCCATTGTCAGGGAAGCCTTGCTCTTCCCTCAGTTTAGGGCACTCTGGTAGGAATGGGGTGTGGGGAGGGGTGGGTCTTCTCCTGCTTCGGATCTTGCAGCCCGGTTTTCTGGGTGCTCGGCCAAGTCCCAGTGCCTCTCCCTGTGACCTATTTATCACTCACAGTTCTGTTCTCAGGAACTGAGTGGGAATGGGGCTGCCAGGTTGGGAGAGGCTGGGGTGAACAGACCACAAGCACAGGCAGCAGGTAACGAAGTAGCTGCTTGGTTCTGGGCAGGCAGCCGACAGTCATGAACTGGGGCAGGCTGGAGGCAGGCATGGTCAGGCAGGAAGCAGAGCTGGGCAGGCATCTGGCTCTGGAGTTGGCTGAGGTCAGACAGGACGCAGTGTGGGCTGAGTGCCTCAAGGCCACCAGCACCATGGACAACTCTATAGGCATTCTGGTGTTGGGCCCACTGCACACTTTTATCCCCAGTCTCATTTAACCGTCCCCCCCCACCCCCCCCCCGCCACCGCCCCAGCTATCTGGTTGCTAAAGGGCCTTTGCAAACCCCTTTCTGAGCTTGGTCTCTGAGAAGGCCTCCAACAGCTCTCAAGCTTGTTTTCAGAGGGACGCCTGTGACTTTGACCTCCCTAGGAGGTTTTCTGAAGGGGTTCACGTTCTTCAAAGGCCCACTTTATTGGTGGGTGATCCTTGTCATCTTCTGGGGTCCCCACATTTTTAGTCTAGTGCTCAGGCCTGGCCAGGGACTCAGTGTGCTCTGAGTTGGAGGGACTCTGCCTCTCAGCCAGTCACGCTGCCCACCCCCTCCAGTTCCTGATGCCCTGGACCAACACTTCTCCCCAGCTCCTCATTTTCCTCTCCTTTTGCCTATGACTGCTTGAGTGAATCAGAGCTGAAGATCAGAAGTCACAGTGAAGCTGTTCCCACTAAGGAGCTCTTAAGGCCCGCAGGCAGTCCCTCCCCTTGCCCCACCCTGCCCTGTTCACTTATTTATGACAAATTGCTGGAGGAAGAAGGGCCAATCAGCGTTTGGAGGGAAGAAGGGCAGGAGAGGATGACTCAGAGAATTTGCATGGGGGCAAAGTGAGGAGTATAAAACTTTATCATTTTTCTCAGCATAATATCTCTAGTCCAAATTCCTCTTGTTGCAGATGAGGTTTCTGAGGCCCAGAGGCATGAAGTGTCTTCTCAAACCCACCCGGCCAGTGAGGACCACACCAAGAACTGGAATCTCGGTCTTTGGTTCGAAGTCCAGCACAGTTTCCACGGTAGAACTTCTTTGGGTGCATTTATTTTGAAAACTGAAATGAGGTCTCTGTTTCAATTTGACAGCTTGGCATTTTTTTGGTCTGTCAACACTTTGATAAATTTAGAAGAAATGGATCTATTTTGGCACATCTGGGGACTAGCAAAAAGGATCAGGATTGCCACTGTGATGATCATGTCTTCACTCTGCCCCCTTGAAACAAAATGGCAGTTGACACGAACATTTTCAAGGACACCTGCTGTCTTTAATTTGTAATGGATTTCAACATCATTTGGCTGGGGGTAGAAGTTACTGTGGATATGCCTACACTGAATGTGACCTGTAGATCAGAGTCATTTTTCCTTCCGTAGGTGCATTGCTTGTTCTACTGTTGACCAGACAAGCAGAGGGGGTGGGTAAGACAGTCTGTATTCTGAGTGGTCGTTACTATCATTGCTATTTATGATGATGGGGAGGGAGGCATCTGGTGCTTAGTGTTTTGGGGGGACATGGCCAGAAGAAGCAGAGCGTGGGATGGTCCATATAAAGCCTGGTGTATCCTTTCCCATTCCTCTAGCCACTTCCCTCTCACCATCAAACTCAGGAGGACTAGAGATACCTGAGTGTCCCAGACCTGAAGAATCCACAGAGGGTGTACATAATCACTTCCGAAGAAGAGCCTTGGGGGCTGTCTCTGGGGGTCACTGTAGCAGACTCAGTGTATGTGGTTCTTGCAGGAGTTGGGGAGGGGATAGCAGGAGCCTGAGTTCAGTAGCCTGAGTGCTGGAGTATAGACCACTTTTGCTTTCAATCCTTTGTTATCCTCTGCATTCCTTTGCCTTATACCTCAATTCCCCATATCAAGGTAGCTTCTTAAAATTTTACTGCCTAGTGCTTATTATGTGTCAGGTACTATTCTTAATATTAGATATATTAACTCAATCTTCATAGTAACTTTACGAGGTGTGAACTGTTATTATCCCTATTTTACAGGTGAGGAAACTGAGGCACAGAGAGGTCAAATATTTTGCCCAAGGTCATACACGAAGTGAATGGCAGAGCTGAGACCCAAACTTGGCATTCTACCTCCAGAGTCTGTTCTTTGATCTACTATACTGCGTGCCAAACCAGTAAGGCACTGGATTTGGTTTTTCCTCTAGGTTCTGCCACTCAGATGAACCACCTTACCCTGCCCGTCTACCCATCCTTCCATCCATCCATGCACCGTTTCATTCAGCAAATATTTATTGAATACATCTGCTATGTGCCCACCATTGTGCCAGGTAACAGTGGGAGCAAAACCATACACAGTCCTTGCTGTCCCAGAGCTGGCAGACTTGGGGAGCAGATAGAGAGATCACATATTAACATACCAACTCACGGGTATTTAAAAGTGGACATCAGTGCTCTGGACAAAAGGGACACAGCTCTATGTGTCACAGCTCATAAGCCAGGGCTGTCAACCCAGGTCCCTGTGTCCCATTTCCCAGCCCTGACCCAGACCCTCGACCCCCATATGATGCAATTTCCTAAGCCTAATAGTTGCTGGGGGCTTCTACCAAATTCCCAGTGTAATGTCCAAAGCGTCTTCCTAACCTACCAATTTCCTGAGGTGGACAGCGTGTCAGGTGTGGCCAATTCTACCTGTGCAACCAGGACAATGAAGGCAAGAGGTTTTTTTTGCCTTTACTGCCCCCCCCCAGACCTTCCCTGCTTATTTGATTATAGATAGCATTATTTTCCTTCATCTTCAGCAATGGTCGAAGCCTTTTGGGGAGCATGGATCTCTTTGAGAGACTGACAAAAATTAAGAACATTTTTTTAGGAAAAAATGCCTCCCTGGATTTCTGAGCTACCCAATACTCAAAAGTAGCCCCAGATTTGTGTCTCAGATTTGGAAGATACTTTTTAAAGCTGAGTGGATTATAATGGCTGAATAGACAGGTGATACGCCCAGAAGTTCACTTCCTATTGAGATGTGGGTGCTTCATCTTCCTCACCCCAGCAGAATTCACTTGTATCTCATTACTCTCTTTCATCTTGAGCAGTGAGTGAAGCCTTTTTTTGGCCATGGCTGTCTTTGAGAGATTGACAAACACTAAAGGCCTCCTTTGAGAAAAATGCACATACTTTGAATAATTTGTGTGTAATCTCAAGGGGTTTATACCCCTCCTGTAGCTCATCTGTGGGTCCCAGGTGAAGAACTTCTAACCTGAAAGATGCCCTTTCTTAGTCTTTATGGCTTGTACTGCCTTTTGACATGACCTCTGAATGCTTAGGTATTATTCCTGTTCCAGCAGCTGGTCAGCATCTGGGGGAGTCCATGGTTTTCCCAGGAGGGGTTTCTAAGATGCCATTCAGGATGCCAGAGAGCAGCCCTAGAGATGGAGGTACCTGGTACTCCTCTAGGTTCCACTAGCTGGAGGTCCAAAGAACACAGGTGGTCAGCCTCATGGCTCCCAATGATAACTGCGCCCTCCCTTGCGCACCCACTGCTCTTGAGTGAGGCACCTAAGGCTCATCTCAATAATTCTCAGCAGGAAATCTAAGTGTGTAGTGCAGGGAAAACAAGTATGAGATACATGTACGACTTCTCCCGACCCAGTGTCCATGACAGATGTTGCTAATCAATCAGAGTTTTCTTTCCCATTGGGCCCAGATATGGTCTTATAATCTTTTCAAATAACAATTTTGGTAGATACCAGCAATCCATCAGAGTTGGCATGTAGGATGTAATGTATTTACCGTCCTGGATGTGGGGGGTGGGGGGGAATACAGGCTGGGCACTTGGTCTCTAGGCCCACCTCTGGCCAGTCTAGGGTCTCAGACCCGACATCCCAGCTGGTTTAGAGCTCCAGGCCTCTGGTGGTCTTGGAGAATCCTCAGACATCATCATCTGGTTGGCCAACCTACCCTGGGGCTGACTCAGAGTCTCTTTCTGTATTCCCCTGAATTAATTTACCCATTCCCCAGCTAAAATGTCTTCAGGCATTTAAAAAAACTCAGTAAGGGTGGGGCGCCTGGGTGTCTCAGTTGTTAAGCATCTACCTTCAGCTCAGGTCATGATCTCAGGGTCCTGGGATCGAGTCCCGCATCGGGGCTCCCTGCTTGGCGGGAAGCCTGCTTCTCCCTCTCCCACTCCTTCTGCTTATGTTCCTGCTCTTGCTATCTCTCTCTCTGTCAAATAAATAAAATCTTTTAAGAAAAATCAGTAAGGATGAAAATTTATATGTTTTATTAATGGTTGACTATCAACTTCTTGTCCCATAGTCAAAAGCTAGCCTTTTGTTTGTTTGTTTATATGAAAAAAATATAAAAATTTCTATGTCCATTTTATATCAACTGCATTTTTTTTTTCTTTTTGACCCCCTCTACCCCCTGCCTCTGGCAACCACCAATCTGTTCTCTGTCTCTATGAGCTTGGTTTTTGTTTTGTTTTTGATTTTTAGATTCCACATCCACATAGGTGAGATAATACAATATTTGTCTTTCTCTGACTTATTTCACTTAGCATAATGCCCTCTATTTCCATCCAGGTTGTTGCAAATGACAAGATTTCATTGCTTTTTATAGCTGAGTAACATTCCATTGTGCATATGTACCATAATTTCTTTGTCCGTTCATTCATCAGTGGACACTTAGGTTGCTTCCATATCTTGGCTGTTGTAAAAAATGCTGCGGTGAACCTGGGAGTGTGTGTATCTCTCTGAGTTAAGTGTTTTCATTTTCTTTGTATAAATACCCAAAAGTGGAATTACTGGATCATATGGTAGTTTTATTTTTAATTTTTTGAGGAACCTCCATACTGTTTTCCGTAATGGTCGCACCAGTTTGCATCCCCCCCAACAGGGCATGAGGGTTCCCTTTTCTCTAATTTCTCACCAACACTTATTATTTCTTGTCTTTTTAGTGATAGCCAAGTATGAGGTGGTATCTCACAGAGGTTTTGACTTACATTTCCCTGATGATGAATGAAGTTGGGCATCTTTTCATGTGTCTGTTGGCCATCTGTATATCTTCTTTGGAAAAATGTCTATTTAGATCTTCTGCCCATTTTTAATGGGATTATTTGTTTTTTTGCTGTTGAGTTGTTCAGCATCCTTTGTTCCCCGCCGCCCACCCCAGCCCCATGACAGAAACCTCAGGTTGAACATTTCATTACCTCTCTAGAAGTGTCAAGAATGTCCACATTCTTACAACTCCTGTAATCCATGCTCCATGCCTCTTCAAGCATACACACATCATATCGTCTCCTTTTTGAAATCCTTCAGTTCTTTAAAAGAGGAAATACACAGTTTTTTTTTAAAGTAGGCTCCATGCCCAGTGTGGGGCTTGACTTCATGACCCTGAGATCAAGAGTTGCATGCTCTACTGACTGGACCAGCCAGGTGCCCCCTTCCCCCTCCTTTTTTTTTTTTTTTTTTGGAAATCTGCATTTTTAACGATTACGTATACAGCCATTTACAGCCTGGCTCCAGCTTCTTTTCCAGTTTCACTCCTCACCATTCCCTGGTGCTCTGACAAATTCTTACAAGGCATCTTATCTTGATACTCTGGGCTTTCGCGAACATCCTCATCCTAGCTCATGCTGTTCTTTCTGTTTGGAATGCTTCCCCATGCCCACGCCAGCCCTTTTCTCTGCCTGCTGAACTCTTGCTCTTCTTTCAAGACCCTTCTCAAATGCTGTATGTATTGATGCATGTATTCATGCATGCTGCATGTCTGCTCCGTGAAACCCTCTCTGTCCCACGCTGGGTTTATGTTTCCATTGCCCCCTCCCTACTGAGCTCGCTATGCATATCTCTGTCCTGGTACATTTTACTCTGTCTAGTAATTGCTTGTTTACATGTGGGATAGTGTCAGATAGACCCCTGTGTGCTGGCACCCAACCCAAGACAAGACACAGAGCAGGGACCTTGTTTACATGCACTGCATGTGACTTGCAATGGGCGGAGACCCCCAGCCTTCTCTTCCTGTGCCCCAAGGCAGCATTTGCTCTATCACCCTATCTAGCCAAGGGAAAGCAGCCTTCGTCTTTTAAATGATGGCTTTCCTCCTCGCAGAAAGGGCATCTCATTGAAATTCACCAGGAAAGGGCAGTTTCTGACATGAGTCTCTTGGCTGGTCATAGATGCAGCTGCCAGCATCAGCGCTCCTGGAGGCAGAAGGGTTTTTGATCATGAACTGCAAGCATACCTTTTACCACTAAATTTAGACCCCTGGAGAAAAACAGCCTTTTCCCTTTCTCCAGTGGCCTCTCTCAGGCCCTCCTGGCTCCTCCCCGCACTTTTTTTTTTTTTTTTTTTGGTTCATGAAGCTGGGGAAGTGAGGGGGCTGGTGGTGGAATTGGGGGAGGGGGAGAAGCTTGCTCATCGTGGTTTGGGGAAGAGCTTGTTGGGTGGGAGGCGGATGGAAGCTTTCACTTAGAGCTCAGTCAGTGCAGGTGACTCTCATCTGTATTTTTTTAACAAAAGATTTATTTATTTATTTTAGAGAGAGAGAGAATGGGGGGAGGGGCAATGGGAGAGGGAGAGAGAATCTGAAGCAGACTGGTGCTGAGCGAGGAGCCCAACATGGGGCTCGATCTCATGACCCTGAGATCATGACCTGAGCCAAAATCAAGAGTTGGGTGCTCAACTGACTGAGACACCTAGACAGCCCTCTTATCTGTATCATTTGATAAACATGGATGATGGGCTCCTCAGTGAGCCCAAGGTGATCCAGAGGCTCAAGGCAAGATGGTGGCGTTGGAAATAACAATAAAAATAACATTAGTAAGAAGAATATATCACCATGTAGCCCAGACTCTGTGCTAGGCACTGCTTAAGTGCTTTTCATATATTAGCTTCTTTAGATTCTTAGCACAACCTTTTGTGATGGGTTTTATTATTATCCCCATTTTACAGATGAGAAAATAGAGGCCACAGAGAGATTATTACCTCATGCTGTTCCCTGGGTAAATGGGGAAACTAAGGCTGGCCCAGACACCACTGGAAGGAGGTCATGGAAGAGACTGTATTATGAGTATAAGAAGAGGAGCATTGGAAATTCCAAGGACATTCTGGCTGTAGCCTTGAGAGAATTATTTTACTTCTCCAAACTTATTCTTTCTTATCTAAACAGTAGGATAATTATGTCTTATTGGAAGCTTCAATGCAAGGATCAGGTGAACTCATATAAGTAAAATGCCTAGTGTATGATAGATAATCAATAAACAGAAGCTGTCATTATTAATTACCTAATTGCTCCCTCCTTTGTGCTCTTTCTGTTTCAGATGCTTCCCTTCCAGAGCCTTATCAGACTTTTTAATGATCTTATCATATATCTGTCTTGCTGTTGTACTCTGAGCCCCTCAAAGGCAATAGCCAGCTCTTACCCACTTCTGAGCTCTTTAGCTGACAGATGGGAGGTTCCATATGAAGGGTTGAAAGGAAGCTGTTTGCCCAAGTGGACAAGCTAATAAGTGCAAGAGCCCAGGTCCCTCCCCAAGATGCTATGCAGACTTGTATGATCAGTGATCCATGGTCAGGGAGGTGGGTGGTGGAAGACCCCAACCGCGGCCTGTGACTGCCTGTGTGGGGAGTTGCAGGTTGCTGGGGCATGGAGGAGGGAAAATGGGGATGGGAGTCAATGAGCTGTCCTGGGCCTGAGCTCACAGGCTCAGTAAAGAGGGCACTTATAGAAGATGGACAAGGCAGGGCCCAGTGAGCAGTGAGATGTGAAGGTTCACGAAAGGGAGGACTCCAGCTTGACTCCTAGGTTACCTTGGAATACAGGAGGGATATGAGAGTATGTGGATAGGAGGGGAGGATCATGAATTCGATTTTGAAATGCTCAAGGAGAGGAGTTCATAGGACAGGTCTCTAAGGGTCTCTAGCAGGCATTTGTCTGTAAGGAGTTGTGTGCAGGGTGCTGATATCTGCCACAACTTATGATCCTATGACATGGTTGTTCACTGAACTGGCAAAGTATAGCTCTAGAGTTGGATTGTAGGACTTGAATCCTGGCTCTATGGTAACTAGCTAGCTGTGTGTGACTTTGGGCATGTTACTTAACCTCTCTGGGTCTCAGTTTCATTTTCTGTAAAAATTTTCTGAAAAATTTTCTGTAAAAATTTTCTGGAAAAAATTCCATTTCTGTAAAAGGAGGATGATTGGAAATTACCTCCTAGCATGTTGTTATAAAGGTCAAATGAAATAAAATAAATCAATGAAGGAGCATAGTAAGAGCTCAATAAATGATGCTCATTGTTATTAGCTGTTCCTGCTGCCAGAATGCTGACCACCCCCCCTTGTCTTGGCACCTTCCTCCCTATTTCAGCCTTGCCCATCCCACCAGTACTAGATACTCAGCTACTCATCATAGGTACTCTAAACCTCTCCATTCTTCAGAGACCCCTGTTCCTTAAGCATCCCCTTCAACCCTTTGGGTAACTGACCAAGGAGAAGCAGAGAGTTGTCACTTGTGTTCCTCCAGTGAGAGGTCACTTGAGTTTTAATTGTATCTTCAGTGCCTTGACCCATGGGTGTGACTAATGGTGGGAATATTTGACAGGATGATAGGGTTAGGGCAGTTGTTTTGGAGGTAGAGAGATTTTTCTGGTGCTGGTCAGACCAACACATTCAGAAGTCATCTACTCTGTCTTCATGTATGAATATTGTTAATGAATATAAAGCTCAGACTGAGAGGGAATCTGGAAGTTCTCACTTGGGATTAAGTGGGGTTGGGGCACTTCATGCCCTTTCGATTGGGAGGTCTTCTGGCAAACTCTGCAATCCTCCCAGTAGGACCAGGATGCTCTGGGATTATTCCATCTCTCCCTCTGTTCTACTCCCAGCTTCCAGGAAGGCAGGGAAGTAGTGGACAACTGCCTGATGTATAACACATATCCAAAATGTGGAAAGGAAGGAGGAGAAAGCCATTACCCAAGGATTGGGAAGCCCATGTTTAAGTCCTGCTCCTACCTTTACCAGGTGTGTAGTCTTAGACAAGTAACTTCCCTTCTCTGAGTCTCAGTTGCCTATGAATGGGGTGGTTATACCGGAATCCTTTAGCAGACCAAACATTTAGACGAGTATGTTCCCTTGGCTATTGCAGAAATTGAAGCCCAGACTGCAAAGGGGCTTGCTCGAAGTCATGAAGCCAGAGTTTGGCTGCAAAACCAAGTCATGTGGTAGTGCTTAGTCAAGTGTTGCAAGAGGGTAAGGGATGGTGTTGTATTGGTATGGGACAGATCTAATTTACTTGCTTAGGCTCTCAGACCCATGGAAGGGAAGGAGACTCCCCCTCTGCTGAATCATTTACCGCTACATTTTCAAAGCCAGTGGGAATTCTTAGAGGAAGCTGTAAGGCCCAGAGACTTTGACAGTGTATATGTGCCTCAGGGGTCATCACAAAGCTCTGGTCACAAACAAGTTGCAGGCTGCCTTTGAAGCTCTTCCCAGTGACTCTGCAAAGTTTTAGGTCTCAACTCAGCTACAAAATGAATGAATTGCTCATCTCACCAGCACGGAGCACATTTGGGCCAGACTTCTTGGTCAGTTTTATGGGGCCAATACATCTGCAGAAGCACTTACCCGTCACTCTGCAGACGGAATGCATTATTTTGGAAAACTTTCTTTTCCCTTTTCCCCCCAAAACTTTTATTCCCTGGCAGAAATGGTTTATCAACGTCTTTAAAAAGCCGCTCAGATCTTCTTGGCAACCCCTGATACCATAAAAGAGTGGCAGTACGAATGCAAATGAATTGGAGGGCATTAAAAAACCCTCTTGCTTCGGCAGCTGAAGTGGAGAAGGGCCGGATGATGGATAGCACACGGCTTTCCGTTGAGCGATTTTGCTCCTTTTACGGCTGCCAATGGCTGATGTATTTCATCTTTTGTTTCCTTTCCTGCCGCTTAAGCAAGCACCCTCAGGCTGGGGCTATGTCCCCGGGCACCCACTTCATCTTGCCCCTCTGGGACAGCTTCAGCCAGCTGTTTTGCACTTACTGCCTGATTCAGGGAAGGCATGGGATGGCCCAGCTGGATGGGGCCCTGGGGGAGTGCCCCTCCTATAATTGCTGAGCTCAGGAGCAGAGACTGCTGAAGAGGTGGAAATCCTCCCCATGCCATTTTCTATTCCACCCGTGTTTACTGAGGCCCGCTGCATGTGCAACACTGTGCCAGGCACAGGGAGGACACCATGAAGTGGAGGACACAGCCCAGACTTCAATGATCTTTCCCTCCTGTTGGGAGGGAACTCACCCCCGAACAGCTACACACACATACATGCACATGGCTAAGGCTTGCAAGGCTTCCTGCACCCACTCTTACCCATGTGTGTTCGGGTACATGCTCACACTCACCTACATGTTAGCACAAATGTATATGGACACAGTCACCCACAGAGATGCAAGAGTACACACCCGGATGTGCCCAGAAACACGCAACCAAGCCCCACCAACTCTCAAACCCACAGGCACCTGCAAACATGCACAGACAAACACAAAAGTATTCTCCTGTACACCCACACATGAGGAAGTTAAAAGATAATACAGAACCATGTATGATCTGAAGCCAGAACGAGAGGGGAGATGAGAGAGGATTCAGGGGATGTCACTGAAGAAATAACGCTGATGTAGGAAGTTTGCCTTTGAGACTCATCTCAGTCTCCTACTATCTGTGTGACCTTGCTCAGTCTCAACCTCTCTGAGTCTCAGCTTCCTTATTTGATTTTTTTTTTTTAATTTGAGAGAGAGAGAGTATGTGTGAGCTGTGGGAGGGGCAGAGGAAGAGAATCTCAAGCAGACTCCCTGCTGAACACGGAGCCCAACGCAGAGCTAGATCTCACGACCCTGAGATCATGCATGACCTGAGCCAAAACCAAGAGTCAAACGCTTAACTGACTGAGCCACCCAGGGGGCCTGCAGCTTCCTTATTTGACATGAGGCCCCTCCAGATACCAGAGCCTATGATTTTGTGAAATCAGAAGTTCAGAAGTCAATGTGAGCTGATGTAATAATAGTTACAGTAATACCAATAATAGCTAATTATATTGAGCACTTACAGTGTGCTCTGCACTGTGTTAAGCACTTGGTATACATTATCTCTTTTAATCTCCACGGTAATCCTAAAAGATGAGTCCAGTTATTAGCTGTGTCTTACAGGTGTAGAAACCATAGTTCAGAGAGGTGAGGTTACAAGCCCAGGGTCACACAGCAAACAGTAGTAGAGTCGGTATTGGAACCCCCGCAGGTTGGCTCCAGGGCCCACACTTCTGGCTACACTGACAATGAGCTGAGTTGGACCAATGCTGGGAGATGAAGGATATACATTCCCTGCCCTTGAGGCCTCAGTTCAGTGGGGAGGACAATTGGCATGAAGTGTTGCTTGATGCTGGGGACCTTGGGTTCCTGGAGACCCACCTCCGTGTACTTGTGACAGCTCTCACTGGTGACTCCTGTGGGCCAGGGCAGCCCCACCTGGCCCTGGGGGTGTGCCCCTGGATGGGGTTTCTCTGGCTTGGGCGGGGACTGTGTATCCAGATAATGAGCTTCCAGTCAAGTTCAAGAGGCCAGAAGTCTTCTGGGAGCGTGTTGTGCCTGTTTCTGTGTCTCGAGTAAGGACACCCAGTGAGGTCCTCTGGCCTGGGCTGGGGCCTCTGTAGCTCATTATGATAGGTTTGAGCAAATTAGGATAAGAGCTTCCCTCCAGAGGATTGCAGCACTGTGCCAGGGCATGGCATGGAGCGTGCCATGGGTTGTGGTCCCCTCCTCATCTCTATATGTGGTAGCCCTGGTAGGGTCATAGGGAGGGAGAAGGCGCAGGCTGGGGAGATCAGAGGTCTTCACAGGGCTCCTTCCTGCAATGGGAGAAGGAAGGTGTAGGACCTTCGGTTGGTCTCTCAGGAGAGGGAATAGGGTGACCCTGGGGTGGGGTGTAGACATGGAGGAAGGGGCTAGAAGGAGCTGCCAAACCATAATAAAAGCATCTCAACAAAAATCGCTTGTCCAGATCACACATCCAGGGGCGAGTGGCAGGGGTGAAATTTGCATGCGGGTCTGTCTGACTCCAAAGGTTGGACACCAAACCATTGCACTCTGCTGCGTCCCCAGATCTGCTCTGAGGCCCTACTGTGTGCTCGTGGGACAGGGTGAGGCTATAGGACAGAGGAAGTCACAGGGTACCAAGACAGCTGCTGATACGAACAATGCAACATCAGCAACACACATGCGCACACGCAGAGCGAAGTGGGCAGGTTTCCTGACGGCACTTTGCAGATACACAATTTTCCCTTGGGCCTGACCTTCAGTTTTGCCTTCCTTGTGCTCTTGGCCTCCACTTAGTCCAGCTTAAGGCTGTGCCCTCCACGATGGCAGGGGCCTCTGTCCCCGGGCCTCAGGCACAGCCCAGCACTGGCAGCCATGTAGGGTCCCACCCCACGCTCTGTAGGGTCCCCTTGAACCCCCCACCTCCCCTGTAAATCCACACAACTCCAGCCTGTCTCTGCTCTCCCTGGCCCATGCCATCCTTATTTTCAAGGCCAGATGGTCTAGATCAATTCTGAGGGTCCTTCCAGAATCCCTTCCCCTCTCTTTCCATAGAAATCTCTTGCTCTCTGAAGGCCTAGGTTCTCTTTGACTGTTATAGGTCTTAATGAGGACCAACCACATGCCATGGGGACCCAAGACACAGGACCCCCCTCTCTTCCCTGAGCCACATGGGTAAATTTGTTCCATCCACCCTGGTGCTGGGGTGGGGACCCTCAGGGAAGGAAGGTATGGCTATGGTTGGGCCTCCTGCCTTGATCTTGGGGAACAGCCAGGTGCTGCTCCCTGAACAGACTCCGGGTGCTGGGGTCAGACCCCAGGGACCAGCCGAATCCTGCTTTGCACTTATGTGTTCAGGACAAAACCTGCCCAGACAAGGGGATACTGAAGCCAGGAGAGGGGAATGTGTTTGGCTAAGGTCAGATGGTGAGTTAGTGCCAGGACCAAAATCTGGCTCCTATTCTTTTTTTTTAAGGAAGAACTGCAGGTGATATGTGCTTGCAGTAATAAATGTAACCACTAAGGAAATAGAAAGTAAAAAGTGAAAGTTTCTCCATCCCTGTCTCTTATTCTACCTTCCAGAAACAACCAATATCAAAAGTGTGCTGTGCCCTTCCTTTTCTCTGCTCATGTGCACACACACACACACACACATCTACTCATCTATATACACATACACACCTAAAACAGAAGTTATTGTTTGTTCTTGCAAAAATAGGAGTGTACTAGACTTACTGTTCTGTGATGATAATGATTTTGTAGCCCTTAAAGTCTGGAAGGACCAAGCACTAGACCCAGGGAGCTTATGGTCAGGGTGACATGCCATGAAACACTGGAAGTCCCTCGATCACATTTATGTGTTCAAAGAAAGCAACATGGGCTTGGGGACCCTGCAGGTGGGGGCTGGATTTATACAGTGCAGGTGGTGTTAGGACAGGGGGGCAGGGGAGCTGGGTGAACAAAGGCTTCCCCGAGCTGACAAGGGAGCTGAGCCGAAGGCCTTGTGTCAGGGAGTGGGTGGGGGGTTGGGCTGGGAGAAGGCCTTGAATGCCAAGGAGAGGCAATGGCAAGTTATACAGGGCAGTGGGGAGCCCCTGGAAGACAAAAGTGGATGTGATGCTGCTGGGGGAAGGAAGACCTGTCTCCGTTGTGTGCCCATGCTCATGAGCACTTGTGGGCGCACCTGCCCCGGAGATGGGGTCTTGGGGACATGGGGTGGAGGGAGTAGGGGACTCTGGATCTGGAAGCCGCAGGTAGGGGTGATGTCAAGATTTGTTGGCTGCCCCTGGGACACTGAATCGAGTTTCCAGGGTTCTCAAAGGGGCAAAGCCAAGACTGCTAGTGCCCTCGGCCTGCCCACATTGTCCCTCCAGCCCCTGCCTCCCACTGCCACCTCTTCTGTCCTCTGAGAGCCTCTGTCCTCGCCAGCCTCATTCTCAGGGTTCCATGCGCACCCCCTGGGGGGGCGCAAATAGAGAGGTCAGAGGAGCCGCAGAAGAGCCAGAGGTTCCAGCTACTTCAAGGCTCCCTTTTGTCGTGGCAAATGGAGGTAAGGGACAAAGGGGAGCCTCAGACACTTCCCTAATGAGTTATTATGGAAGAGGTGGGAGGGGGCGAGGCAGGAGAGCTGACAGAGCAGGGGTGCAAGGGTAAAAATTTTAAGGTTTGGAGGATGTGAGGCTCTGGAGAAAGGCAGAGAAAAGAGGACAGGGGTTTTTTAAGAGTCTGCAGGGTTTGAACTGGGTCATGTTTACAGTGCTTTGAGAGATTCAAGTAAAGATTGGAATTCCTTTTTAATTGCCTTTGGCCGCCAGGCTGTGGTTTTGAATGTAGAGCCAAGGCAAGCCCGGGCCCACACGGGGCAGAGGAATTAACTTGGATTGCATAAGGAATACTTTCCCCTTCCCTTCTTCACACTTTGTTCTGAAAAGTGGATGCGTGTACACCTAATGCACACATTGTTAGTGAATTAATGATGGAATTTAGGATTCATGGTGTCAGAGACTGTAGAAAACATAATCGTGTCTCGGTTAAGGGAATAGAAACCAACTCTAGCTCAGTCATAAAGTGAGCTTTGCTCTAAGGAGGTTGAGTGTCTCCTGGAAGGAGGTAGCTGGTCCTCGGGAAAGGACCAGAACTGCCAGAGAGCCCTGCACCAGCATCTCTCTTGGTCTCTGCTCCTCGCTGCAAATCCTCCCATCTCTGTCTTACTGTTTTCCTTCTCTGCAGAGCAGCTTCTTCTGTTTCTCGGGTCCCCATGGCAGAGATCTCAGCTCCTGCTGCTCTGGGGGTAACATGGAACGATGCCAAATGCCTTGGAAGGAGCTGAATGTCCCTTGGCTCCAAATCCCAGTTTTTGGAGAATGACTCTCAATGGCCCTGGCAGGGTGACATCCCCCGCCCCCCCCAGCTCCCCAACACCAACTTGTGGCTGGAGGCGTGGAGGGCATGGTTGCTAGAGACCCACGCGGCTGCCGGAAGCCCCCAGCTGCAGCCTGGTGGCAGGCGGCAAAGAGCAGTTTTTAGAGACAGCCGGCTGGGCAGGCAACCCAGAAGCTGTTCTCAGCAGATATCTCTCCTTTTGAGTGCTTAATTACTATACCAATCCAAGAGTGACTATAAAAATCTGATTTTATCTGCACTTCAAGACAGAGCTAAGTCCCCTGTGTTTTATCAGCTGCTCTGAAGAGGACCCAGGAGGAAGGTGAAGAACAGAGGCTCTTTCTCTGGCTCCAGCCCTGCAGCTTCTCTCTCTTAGCTGTGGCTCACCCCACCCCGCCGGCCTGGGCCAGCTCTGCTCCCCACTGGGAGGGATTGAAGCCGAGTACCTTTGGGCCACTTGGAGTCCTGTTCCCCTTGTCTGTGCTCCTGGGCTCTGTTCTGGCTAACGGATCCCCGCTGGACCCCCAGCAAGGGAAACTACCTGGCCCTGAAGCTTGTCTGGGAACAGCTTTGCCCCTGCCGCTCCTTGCCTCTGATCAGCGACTGGACACTTATCCTGGGCCCCAGGGGACCTGCCGATGCGCCCCCCCCCCCCACAATGCCCCAGCTCCTTGTAGCCCCGGGTCTGGCGCCAGGCCAGCTGCTGGCCCTGAGTGCCATGGTGCTGCCGGGGGTGATTCCTCCATGCGGCAGCCGCAAGCAGGGGCACGGCTGAGGGCAACACCCCTGAAGGTTCACTGAAGCCCATGCAGAGTTTTATAATCTAAAAACCAGGAAGGCAGATATTTTAATTTCAAAAAGCATCGTAATAATGGCCTTGTTCTAAGTATTTTATATTATCCCCTTAATAGGACCACTCAGGACCACTTTAAGAAGTGGTTGTCCCTTCTACTTCAAAGAGGAAACTGAGGTACAGAGAATTCAAATAACTTGCCTGAGGTCAGGCTTTAACCCAGGCAGCCCGGCGCCAGAGCCCATGACCCTAACCGCTATGCATGTTGCCTTTGTAATTCCTGTAGATTTGGTGTCATTTCCAAAAATCAAATTTTATTTTGAATTTTATAGTGGCAGAGGGGAATGGTAGCAAACTCTTTTCATTTTTTAGGGCTTCTGAAGATTTAATCCCACCTTGACCTTATCTGATTTGAGCTGATCTGTTGGTTTTGGTTAGAGGGGGCTAATGGTTTCCACGTTTTGCTCCAACCATCTAGAACTTTCCTGTCTGTTCTGGTACAAGGCTCTGGCTCAGGCTGAACCCTAGGGTTGGCTTCTACTATTTCCCATGAGGGCTGAGGGAGAGGGGCACTGGGGCCAGCGGGGTCCAACAGGTGGGTGGTGGTTGATGCGTGGCGCCTGAGCCCTTCCTCCCACCCCTCCTCCACTGGAGAGACAGCTGGCCCTGGCGAGGTGGGGCAAAGCCCTTTCACAGCCTGCCTGGCCGCTCCTCGCTGGCTCTGGCGCCCTCCCGACAGCCCCAGGCTGGTGGCAGATGGCTCAGCCTCGCCATCACAGAGCCCACTCCTGGGCGGCCCCAACACGTCAGAAGCAGATTGGACTTCAGGCTTTGGTGGGCCAGGGGCAGCTCGAGCAGAGCCCTGTTGCGTTTGTTTATTAAACACCTCCGGAGCCAGCTGCTCTTCCCCCCGCCCCCCGAGTGGGGAGGTGCTGAGGCTGGGAGAGGACCTGAGTGGGTCCTGACTGCCCCAATCCGGGAGGAGGGGGGAAATTTCCTGGGAAGCCTTTCCTGGCCTCAACTCCCCATCTGAGCAATGGGTCAGCTGTCCTTGCAGAAGTGGGGAGGGGGGTTCAGAGCGGTGCCTGGTGATAGTAATAAAGATCATGGAGATGGTAATAATAGCCAAAACGTATTGAATGCTGACCCATACTAACTCTTAGTGCTGAAGACTGTACATGTGTTATCCGCTCAACAAATATTTACTGAGTGTCTACACAGTGTCAGGCATAGCAATTCCTGTAAGCCAGCACCGTTCTAAGCTCCTTAGGTTCAATATATTATTTAACCCTTGCAACAACCCTGAAGGCAAATACTATTATTGCCACTTTACAGATGTCGAAATGTGAGACCTGGAGAGGTTAATTCATTTACGCTAGGTCACACAGCTAGTAGGTGGTGGAGCCAGGATTTGAACTCAGCAGGTTCAGTTCTGGAGCTCTTACATCTAAACCCTGCACCTTCTACCTGTGAAGAAAGCTGCCCTTGAGGATCTGATAGCCGGTATGGGAGGAGGTGTGCGTAAGACAATTATATATATTTATGTCCTTTCAGATTGTTGTGGATGCTGTGAAGGGAATAAATATACTGGGATAGAGATTAACCTGGAGAGAGATTATTTTAGATACGGTAATCAGAGCATTTTGTTCTCACAGAACCTCGTGGCGGGTAGGTTTGCTATTTCATTTTCCAGATGAGTGCGGTGAGGCTTTGAGAGATTAAATAGGGACCCAAATACACCGTCCTCATCCCTGCATTCCTGGGCTCTTCTCTGAGGCTCCTGTGCTGTGTTTTGGGCCAGGGGAGAGGGCTTTTGGCTAATGATGAGGCTGGGGGTGGGTGGTGTCTTTGGGTCTCTCCCAGAGGATCTGACCTTGCTCTTTGTTCTGAGGCATCGAGAGGAAATTGTACCCATCTCCGACTCCTGTGTCGTCAGCCTTCTGGGCCTGGTGCGTGGTGTGTGCATTCGCGCGTGTGTGATTGTGTGTCTGCCTTCCTCCCTGCAGCCTCCTTTCCACACAGACCATCCTGACCTTTTATTAGGTCACTTTGTGATTGATTGAAATGTCCCAGGTACCTTCTTTTAACTCCAGGGTGATTATGACAATTATGATGATTATCATGTAAAAAAAAAAAGGGGAGAGAGACAGAGCGAGGAAGAGGGAGAGAGAGAGAGAGGGAGGAAGAGGGCTGGGGGCCTGGGGGCTGGGAATCGTGGAGCTGCGCTGTCATTAAGCGACATTGTGTGAGATTGTTCGCCTTCAAAAGGCAGCTGTGAAAAGGAGAGAGTGTCTTTAAAAAAAAAAAAAAAGGCCCATTATGCAGGCGGTTTGGGGCGCATGGTGCTGGCGGGAGGGCTATGGGGTGTAATTAGGG